GTGAGTACTATTGTTATTCATACTTTACAGGTAAAGAAACCAAGCCACAGAAAGATTAATTTCAAAAAATAAAAATAAAAAAGGAGCTAGTAAATGGCAGAGCCACAGTTAGAACTCTTTCAGGCTCTACAGTATGTTCTTTTGAACCGCAGACAAAACTGCCTCAGGATAAACACCTAGAACAATATCTGCCATATAGTAAGTGCTCAACAAGTATCTGTTGAATAAGTATTGCTCCATGCATAATCCCTGCCCAGTAATGGACATGCAAGTAATGGAGATGCAAGTCCATGGGTGGTATTTAATCCTTAAGGTCCAGATATAACATTCTGAGTGAGTAATTACAAAAACTGTAGATATCAACCATGGGCATTTTACTACAAGGGGCTAGAAAGATTAATATTATGTTGATATTTTCACTTAATCCCTATGCTTCCTCTCTGAGCTTACAAACTCAAGTCACATGGCAGGTAAATGAAGGCTTTCAGCTGATGCCAATATTCAGGTTTGATGCTTGACAGGTAGCATGACAGAGGAGGAATCTACAGTTTCCAAAGCAGTGACTGGCTACATGTAGTATGTTTTATTTCATTCTGTGTTGACATGGCACTATATGATTTTTAGTACACCACTGAGCACACAGTAATGGGTAACAGCAAAAATCCTGCCAAAGGATAAAACACAGATATGATTGTATTTCAAAAAAACAATTAAAAGGGGGGGGTGTCCATTAGTCTGAATTTCACCCCTTAGGAGTAGCCAGCCCCCAAAGCTTTCTCAGAACAGATGGGATCTTGTTTTTATCAAAACAGATAGGGCCAGGAGGCTCTCCTAGTGTGAGAAGTTGGAAGTGGGTTCTTGTCCCGTTGGGTGATGCTGGGATATCTGTGTACTTCTCCTATAAACTACTTTGTTTTACTATACAACAAAAGAGAAGACCAATGTCTTTGCTTCCTTGTAAGGAATGCCAAAAGGATTAAAGCAATAGAACAGCTGCACAGTGCAAGCTAGATCTTATGCTGATGAAAGGTACCCTTCTGCTCTGGGAAGCAGTCACAGGGTTCACATATTGGGTTTTTTGCCCCATGCTTTCTCCATGGTACTCAACAGGTATTCACTGTTGTTTCAGGAGCCATACCTCAATGGAAATTCCCACTCAGAGGCATCTGCCTGGAGTAGTTAATGTAGTTCTTGGTTTTGCCCTATAGACCTTCCAAAATCTGATTCAAAGTATAATGAAGCCAGTTGTATTATGTGTGCCTATGGAATTAGACCACAGAGAGTTCCATGAAAGTGCTGTAATAACTGCCATAAAGGGAGGTGTCACAAAGAAAAAAAGTAATAAGGTGTCCTAAGGTGATTTTTAGTGGCTGAAACTACTGAGCAATGTTGACTGCTCATTAAACAATCTGACTTTAACAATGTTAAAGTCTTTAAAGTGAGCATCTATAACCATTTATGTAAATCAAATTTCAGAGTACTAAAAATTGATTCCAGAATTCGATAAGCAATATTTTCAAAAAACCTTTCTGATGTTTTGCCTGTCTACAATTGGGCTATCAACTGCTGTTGTTTCTCCAACTGTAATTTCTTTGCCTCAGATTTAAGATGGTTTCATCAAATAAGAAAATAACTTAAGTGACTAAGTAGATGCTTTGGGCACAGGCAATTTCCAGTAACATAGAACAAGATTAGTGTATTGGTAGAATAGTTTAGAATGTGACTGTATAGCATTCAAAATTCACTTGATGCTCTTGGGAAATACTAATATTGCTTCCAATTTTCATATTAAATCCGGAGGACTGTTCTATTCAATTTATGAGGCTTTTAGGACAAACCTGGCTTTGAGAAACAGCTCTGGTGAAAGGATTCAGAAAACTAACAGCAACAGTAACAAAATTAGAGTAGAGCCATATTGTTGGCTTTTAAAAACTTTTCAGTTAGTGACGGATTATTCCCAGACCTCACTATGGATATAAAACCAAGAAAGATTCGAAGCCCCAAGACTGAGGGGGATGAGCCTAAAAACTTAGGAGGAATCCTAATTAAAGTGCCTTGACACTTGTGCCTGCAGTTTTTCAGACATCAAGCCTTATGTTTTTCCTTCTAGCATGGCATTTCATTTCTCCAGTATTGTCTACAATAGCTCATGGTTGACAGGTCAACTCTTTCTCTCTATTGTTATATGGTATAACATTTCTTAAAGGATAGCATATAGGAGACAGAAAGTTTACGTGAGTGCAACTTAAGGATTGTCAAAGCATTATGAAGAACATATGAAACTGTATCACTTCCTAATCATCTCTTAGGATTTGAGATTATCATTAAGGAAATTTGAGAGTTGGATGCCTGTGTTTTATTCGGGGCTGAGACTTGATTCTCAATGTTTTATCTTTTGTTACTCTTCTGGATGCATGTTTTTAGCTTTTCCCCATTTTCTTTTTCTTTTTTTCTAAGAGACAGATCTCACTCTGTCACCCAGGTTGGAGTACAGTGGCATGATCATAGCTCACTGCAGCCTTGAACTCTTGGGCTCGCTCAAGTGATCCTCCTGCCTCTGCCTCCTGTCTTTCCCCATTTTCTAGCATGCCTGTGGCATATATAGGAAAGTCTGAGGATTAATTTCCCTAAAGTCAATACATACACAAGTTTGCATTTGTCATAGCAAGCACTATAACTTATCAATCACCCTTTAGGAATGAAGAACTGTGTTTCTGAAAATTCATATCACATGGCTATGTTTTCTTTCAATAAGTTAAACAAAATGGAACTGAGGTGGTATGTTGGCACAGAGAAATCAATACGCTGAATGTTACTGGTTACTCTTCTTTATGAAAAATTGTTATATCTGGTCAATGCACATGATGATCAGGTGGACCCTAAGCATTACACATGACCACAAGCAGAGCTAATGGAGTCCTTACATAGCACATTTCATGTTCCTACCAAAATGTGAGAGCATATAGCCTGAAATGGAGCCATGTGAAAAAAGAGCTGCAAAATAAATACTGTAGGTGAAGATATTCCTATAACTGTTTCTATGTGTAATAATAGCAACTAATGTGTTTAACACTATATTGCTGAGTACTATTCTTGGTGCTGCTTTACTTTTAGTAACTCTTCAATCTTCATAAAAACTCTATGCAGAAGGTACTATTATTTTTTTACAGGTAGATAAAAAAAAAACCAATAGTAAGAGATAGGCTAAGTAATTTGTTCAAGGCCACATAACTATGAGATGGTCAAAAGGTGGACTCAAATACAGATAGTGTGACACCAGAGTCCACACTGCCTCATTCTTGTTCTCTGCCCAGTGAAGTCAATGGCTTGGCGTTTTGATCCTATCAGTGACTTTTTCTCAAGCTCCACTGGTGATGATGATGAGACATTTCTAGGGCATTTTTCAAACAATTCCAATTTTGGTTTATAGCAAGGGAATTGCTGTAATCCGGCAACAAATTTCAATCATACTGCAAAAATATTAAACTGTACTAAATACGTCTT